TTAGACTCCTCCTGCTGCCTGTGGATCCAGATGTAGAACTCTCAGCTCCTTCTCCAGCACCATGTCTGCCTGCATGCCGCCATGTTTCCTGCCATGACAGTAATGGACCAAACTTCTGAAACTCTGCACCACCCCCAAGGAAATATTTTTCTTCATAAGAGTTGCTGTGGTCATGGTGTCTCTTCACAGCAATGGAAACCTAACAGATAATAGCAAATGATAAAATCAGAAAAGCTAGAGTGACCCAAGGAGAGAGAGCTGGTGAAGGCCAAGAAGAAACTGAAGCAGAGAGGCCAAGCAAGATGAGGAGTCAGACCATCACTGGACTCGGCAATTAGAGTATTGTTGACCCTACTGTTGACATTAGAGAAGAAAGTTTCAGTCACAATAGCAGAATCCACAGGTAGAAGCTTGAAAAGGAAATGGAAAACAGTAAAATAGACCTAGGATCCCCTCTACACTCACCAAACTGCTCAATGACAATGGACGACCTTGCTGATATTCCAGATAACTACTAAGCGAGATTTTAACCAGCAGTCACATGCTGGACAACATGATTCCTGAAGTGGTCACTTAAGAGCTTTAGTTGAAGCCGGGCGGTGGTGGCGCACGCCTTTAATCCCAGCACTTGGGAGGCAGAGCCAGGCGGATCTCTGTGAGTTCGAGGCCAGCCTGGGCTACCAAGTGAGTCCCAGGAAAGGCGCAAAGCTACACAGAGAAACCCTGTCTCGAAAAACCAAAAAAAAAAAAAAAAAAAAAAAAAAAGAGCTTTAGTTGAGTTCACTGGCACAAACACCTTTCTTCTCTGGGGAGACTGAGGCTTGGTCTTGACTGTCTCACAATATGGTCTATTTTCTTTGGACTCCTTTCTTTACCTGAGCTTGTGATGGAGTCTTCAGAGAAGACAGTGTGTGGTACATACATTCACATAAAGAGGTTCAGTCCGTGGGCAGAATGTGTTCAAAGAGCAAATACATTTGTCAAAAGCAAGTAAAAGCTGTTATCAAATGTTATCAGTCGTGAATCTGATCCAACACTAATCTGTAGTATGGATTTCAAAATCTGGGTCCAGTTGTTTATCTTAGCGAGTGGTTTTCTGTTGTCGACACTGTTGTTTTGTCTTGTTTTAACATCCAGTGCTCTTAAACACAAATGCATTAACTTCCTCAGGTCTTACTGCTCCTAATGTTCTACAAACTCATTTCTATTACCTGCCTGTTTTATAAACTCATGTAGCTACTGACTTCTGCCAAGGTGTCTTTGGGAGCATTTCTTTCCACAACATGTCTTATATCTCTGAGGTGAAACAGAACATTAATCTTTTTTATTGCCATAAAATCCACTTTTTGTGGTGCCATATTCAAGCAAAACATTGAGAGATTCAAGGAAACCACGGGTTGCACACGGACAACTGAGGGCTTTTCTGATATTCCAAGCATGCTCAGGAGAAAGTGGAGGAAGAAACCGAGTCTTTGAAATATATGATGTCTGGGTGTGGTAATAAAAGAGACAGGAGAAAGGATCGTGTTCATATTGAAGCCTGAAACTGCAGCAGTGTGCCTACCCCAGAGACCAATCAAAGAAGCGTGCAATAAAGGGGTATGTTATTAAACTAGCTACCTGCTGGGTAACTGGAGTTAATACATCTGGGAAAATTCTAGAAGCTCATATAAAGCACATATTTTAACATTACCCACCCAAAGCTGAGTGACTTCCAGACTCAGTCATTCAGTGAAGGATGCTGGGATGGGGGAAGGGATTGAATAAGTACCAATAGCACCAATGTCCTGGCCATTCATGCCCTGGAAGGGGTAACAGAAAGTCCTCCAGCCAAGGAAAGTGATGCCTTCACAAAGTGTCACAACTCTGGTGACTTCACAGACATTGCTTTTCTCATAACCAGGAGTCCTAAGGTCTGAGACCAAGGGATCAGCAGGATGTTTACTTCTGAGTTCTTTCTCTTTGGTCTGTAGGTGGACATCTTCCTCTGCTATCTCACAGGTGTTAGGATTCTGCCCTCACTCCAGGTGCCTGACCGCACATGCGCAGTTCAGGAGTTAAGCAAAGGGTCTCGTGTCTTATGTCATCAGTGTGCACTGGTGACTACACGCTCGTGGAATGGTCATGCAATCAGCGCATGCATGGTGTAGCTCTGTAGGCCCACCTGCGCCTTAAAAAGCCGTGACTCAGACCCCACCCTCTCTCTCCGTTCTGTTCTGTCTCCCCCCACCCCTCCTCCTCCTAATAAAGCTCTACTACTAGGTAGTTGTGGCCGTGCCTCGTGACCTTTCAGGGCAGTAACCAGCCCCACCACCATTTCAACAGGGACTCCCCACTCTGTGTGTCTGTCTGTCCTAATCTCTCCTTTGTAGAAGTACCAAGGTTACATTTGTTGGGGAATATTATTTTAAAGTGTGTTGCGGTTTTTCCTACTGCTTTTGTTAATAATTCAAAGATGTGTTTGATTAAATAAAATTAGCCTGCAAGCAGGAGGCTGAGTCGGCACGTAGCTGACAGGAAGTGGTAGGGAGGAGCCCGATGTAGCAAGGGTTTTTTAAGTGGGGGCTGAGAGAAGGATGCTGGGTGTTTTGGAAGACTCCAGCCAAGGGAGAAGGTTAGCTACTAGCTATCCAGCCTCTCTGAGTGAGCAGAATCCCACCTAAACCATTGAATTGTGAACTCTTTAGATTTAGATAAGTTCCCTTAGTAACTTTGAAGGAGTCGGTGCCTGAGGAAACAAAATCCCCTCAGACCACAGCCCTTGCTGCAGGAACCATTGCTTAAGGGACAGCCACTGTAGATAATAAAAAAGATAACAACATACATAAGCTCAGGGCCCACACGGATGACCCCAATTTCTCTCTGTACACATGGGGTTAGGACTTCAGTTCAGTCTGTAGCACATATAGTTCAAAATGGAATTGCTGAAAGAGTGTATACACTTCCTATTTTAATAAATTAGACAAATTGTCACTGAAGAGTCATGGAGCATGTAACCACCAAGATGTCACTCTGGCGTAAGAGTTATTGAAACTAAGGGCACTTTAGAAAACATCCCAAGAGGAAAGCTCTGGCCATTTTTCCTCCTGAGAGCCAGAGATAAAGCCCATGGAAGCTGTCTTCTATATATGACTGCAAGAAATCTTCTATACCAGAGACAGGGCCAGGGGGAGCCTTAAAAGAATCTCGATAAAATAACATTTCAAAGCAAAACTAGGAGGGGACTAGTTGTGAAGAAGAGGTGGGGGAGGATGTGGAAAGGGGTCCAAGAGGGTTGGGGGGGTGAATAAGATCAAAATGCAGTCTATATTTATTGAAAAGTTTCAATGTGCTAGGAATCAGAAATAAAACAGACTTTGTGGCGCTAATGTAGTAGAGCAAACAAAAACAATAGATAAATAAATAAATGACTGCGATAATTTGCTATTTCTGGCACACTGGAGATTTTCAATGAATATAGTTACAGTATATGAAAGTGAGTAAATGTTTAATTTTAGCTGTTGGGTCATATTCATAATTTACCTCCTTAGAAAATTTCCCAAAATTAGCTACTTCCCAGACTTGTGGAAATGAGGAGAGAACAATCTGCATTTGAATGACCCTTAAAAGACCAAGAAAACCAGGGATTTGGAGTAAGGGTTGCACAGTCATACACCTCAGGCAGGTGACAGACAGAGTTACGATGTGTAAGTCACATGAGTGGTGGGTCCCTCGGCATCTGGAGACACCAGTCCTAGCTCATGCAGACATGAGGTCCAGGCAACTTGTGTCAAGGGACTCAGAGACAGAGACCTTCCAGTTCTTCAGAAGAAGATGAAGCTTCTACACCAATTGAAATTAGTTTCACTGATGAATTGCAGCCTGAAAGAGTAGATTAAATGAAGCAAATGCATATTTTCTGGTCACACAGAGTCAAGTACGGACCGTTCGGGAATCAGGGAGGCGACATGGAGTCAGGATCCCGGGCTACTTCTAATTTGTTGCTCAGGTTGGCATAACTTCCCCTCCAAGGCCATTTGACAGTCCAGTGGACTGTTGCTCCAGCTTTTACCTCCACATTCTAAGCAGCAGGAAGAAAGGGGACCCACAAGTGAACATCCATCTAGCTGAGAAGGAGAGAGTGTACATGGAGTTCTCAATAAGGGGTGCCTGCTGGAGCTACGTACGTGGAGTTCCAGCATTTGTACAGCATGATGGCTGAGCAGACCATGCCTTTTATCTGATTTCTGCAGGAGAGCACCTTCTCGGGAACCCTGCTTAGAGGAACGGATATGGAGGGGAGGTGTTTCTGTGACACTGGGGAGTGGCCCCAAATGGAGGCCCCAGCACAATTAGGCCTGGGTGCAGGTAGCACTGTGGAGATGGGCAGCTGGAGGAACAGTCTACCACCCCACATCCCGTGAATCCAGGGCATCGGCAGCAACCTAGCCCTCACCTCCTGCTCTTTATTATATAGAATAGATGATGTATATGTATTAGACAGTTGTTATAAGGAGTACGGTTTCTGTCTTCCCTGAATTATCAATTTGCTTTCTGACCTTAACCCAGAGTGCCTTCTCATACCAGGTCAGGCTCACCCTGTCCAGAAGGCTAAGGTGAGCTCAGGCCAGGCCTAGCTCTCTAATTGTGGCCCTCTCCATCCACCCCTTGTCCTCATAAGCTTGCCTTTGGCTCAGTTTCGTGGTATGTGACAGCGCCCCCTCTAGACGGCTGAGTCTTCCAGCTGTGCTGGATGTTCTGAGACAGGCACAAGGAACGTGGGGAACACTGACCTTGAGGCTGGCTTCCCTGTCTGGCAGCCCAGCCCACCAATTCCTGGTCAGGAAGACTATAAATATCTCTGTAAGTGTTAAGTTGGAGCTAATTAAATTCTCCTTACCTAATTCACAAGACTGTTTGAAGGAATCACTTATGTAAAACACCTTTGTTTTTAAAAAAAATCCACACAACTGTGCATACAGATTTCAGGTTCCAGTAAAGAGTCTCTGTAACAATCCACATGTGTTTGAAATTAATGACTTTATTGACACAAACTTAGAAATGGAAAATGTTATCCAATAGGATAGTAAGAATCAGTTCCTGTCTTAGACACACATTTAAAATTTGCCAGATGGAAATTTCAACGGTGTGGCCAGATCACAGGCCCTCCCTCCATTCCTTCTTCTCTGAAAGTGAGAAAATATTCCTATACAGGCAGAGACCACTTTTCCAGATGGTGAATTCCAAACAGCGTGCATCAGTGAACTGAGGCAAACACAGAGCGGGGAAGAGAAGCTGGCCTTAGCCTGTGGCTGACAGCGTATCAGCTGGGGGAGCAGCATGTCCAAACACAGCGCACATGCCCTGGAGAGCAAGCCCTTGAGCTCGCAGGATCCCACTGCCGGCAACCTTGCAGCAGGGTTCCTGCCGAGCGGTGCCACTGAGGACACGGGAGTCACGGGGCTTGCTTTTGTTTTATTAGTTAAATTGTCAGAACACGAAGTTCCCTAAAAGCCCTTTGACAAGGAGTCAAGAGGAGAGAGGCTGGGGAGACTGTGGTGTATACAGTAAAGGCTTGGACAGTGGGCAGGCAAATACCTACATCTGTGGTTGACAGAAAGCTACCTTTAACCTAAAAGTGAGACTCCACTGTAATAATTGGTCCTGTGCCGTAGGGTCCAAGTCAGTCTCCTGAGTATCAAGCTCATCTATAGAGTCAGAAGGGACAGTCGTGACTGGCCAGACTCCAAATCCCTCCACAACTGTTACCGCAGCTGGCACAAGGTTGGCAGTGAATGTTTATTACTAAAAAATACACGGTCTACCATTCTACATGTTGGAGAAATAATATCAGAAAAGGGGTGAGCATCTGCATTTTAGTCTACTGAGGTTACTGTTCTTGGACTGTGTCGTATAAACATGTCACCAGGCTGCTATTGCTGCTAAATGTGGAGTTTGTTGGTACAGTTTGATACAACTCAGACTACACCTTTCCTAAGCCCAAGCTTGTTAACAGTCCTCTCAAACTCTCATTATGTTATACTTTGCAGGAAGATGTGTTTTAAAAATGCTAGAAAAAGATTCCTCTCGAAGCATCATCATTTTGCTGTGTTGACTGCCTGTTTTCCAACACAGTGCCTTGTCAGGCTAACGTCAACATGAATACACATCAACCAGGTTCCGCCTTCCTGAACAAATTGCTTTGCAGATACCAAAATAACATAGTCCTCGGGGCTGTCTACAGAAAGGGCAAAGGGGCATCGTGTGTGCCACCATGTGTTCCTAGGTCACTTCCCTCCTGGTATCCAGTCTTCGATTTACAGTTGCAAATGACCTGACTGGAGGTCATGGGAATAAACGGGAACTGGAAAGCTATGAAAAAGCAACACATAGCTAGGTCCCAGAGGGGCCTGCAGGTTGGATGCATTGGCCTCGGGCATTGTGATACTCTGATTTGGAAGCCAATGTCTGGATGCCAACCTTGGGGGTGGCCTTTCCAGGTAGAAGATGAGCAGGTGTGACTGTGTCACAGACTCCTCTCAAAGACACTCCACGGGCACTGGTGGAGTCAATGTTTGCAGCTGGGGTCGAGCTATCTCAAACTGAGTTTTTCTGTTTCTCTGGTTCTTATATTTCTGGGTTTAGAACTAGATGAGAACCAGCTCTAAAGTGAAAACACTGTGTTTTGTGATAGTTGTTTTTAGACAGAGAGGAGGAGAGAAGGGGCTTGTTTAAGACCACACATGGTGAGAGCTTCACACTAGTGTGTGACCCTTGCCCCAGAAATCCACTACTTCTGCATTTCTATGTCGTTCACAGACCCATGAATTTCACCGTGGCTACAGCAGACCATGCTACGGAAGCTGCAAAGGGGAAAAACAAACCACATTTTGGCAATCTGTGAACATATTTCAGAACTTTTCCATCCATTTTTTTTTTGTATGTGATAAACAGGAAGCTGAGAAGGTCCTCACAGCGCGGGTGGCTGTGTGTTACCTGGTCAAGCCATCTCTACAGATGCTCAGAGGCAGCCATGTTTACAAGGGACACCCACTTCTTCAAGATTCTTTGATTGAACTCCACAATGAAGTTCCTCTGCTCCTACATCTAGGCCCTGCTAATTGACGCAGTTCTTTGTGATTCTTTTACTTCTGTCCATCTGCCGGATGTTCTCTGTAACGTTAATAGCGACTTCTTTTGTGGACATTCTCTTGGCGTCTTTTTTAGCCTGTTAAAAAGCAGAAAACAGTGAATTCAGTTCCTGGCAAATATCCAAAGTTCATCCCATTTGTGTTAATTTCTTGAGATGATTATAAACACACAGACAGGCAGGGGAATCAAGGACTCAGACACATAAGGCCCTCTTACAGCTTTTCCTTAATTAAAGTTTTCCGTGCTCCATAAAAGCATAAAAATTGCACACATTAATGGAGGTAACATGTGATGCCTTGATACATACATACATGGTTATTCTCGGTTTCTCTCTTGACTCTCTAATACGGAGCTAGCACGGGTCCTGTGCTCATAAAACATGGTTGAATGAATGAATTAACAGAGATTAAAGGGTAGTAAGAACATTTTCACAGTTGGTCTTAGCGGGGTGGTTAAGTTTTTTGAGCTTCGGAGTCAGATTTTGGTTCAAACACAGGCGATGTAGCTCCATGGGGCAGGCATTTCTAACCTCACCATGGAGCTTCCTCATCTGTGAAGTAGGGAGTGACATTATTGACCTCATAGGACTTTTGTAAGCACTAAATAAGACAACACATGTTCAATGCCTGGCACAGTGCCTGTTATTAGATAAAGAGATACCTCAAAACACAGAGTTGTCTAGTTTTAGGTGAAGACAGACTCCTGCTAAAAGCCCAGAATTAACTAGAGATGGCTCAGAGGTTAAGAGCACTGACTGCTCTTCCAGAGGTCCTGAGTTCGGTTCCCAGCACCCACATGGTGGCTTACAAACATCTGTAATGAGATCTGATGCGCTCTTCTATATACATAATAAATAAATAAATCTTTAAAAAAACAGAATTAACTTTAAATACAAAAGCATTAACGAAACTGTAGGTTCCTCAACATGTTCCCATCCCCTCACTTCTCACAAAGTGAAACAACTTTGATTAGGGGCGTGGATTCCTGAAAATAGCAGTAAGCATGAAATGACCCTGCAAGTCATATCCACAGGTTTATGTCACTGATCTCCATTCCAGAGGGGATCTGCTGGCCAGCTGCAGCTGGGGGACAGGGGACAGCCAGCAAAGAGCCCTGTGCAGGAAACAAAACAAAATAATGAGACTGGGTCCAAAGAAAGGCCTGGTGGTGGTGAGGCCCGTCCTGTCTGACTTTCATAGGTTGTTACATAAAAGCTTTGAAAGTCATCGGAGAATGGAAGACAGAGGCCATATTTGAAATGAATCACCCTGACAGAAGCATTTCTCTCAGACTGGTGGGAGGCAAGAGAGCTAGGTTGAGAATAATTCAAAAAGGTTGATTATAGATTATCCACAGAAAGTGAATGCCCTGTTCTAGTTCAGTCATTTATTTGTGTGTGTGTGTGTGTGTGTGTGTGTGTGTGTGTGTGTGTGTGTGTATGCATGTGTGCGCATGTGTATCCTTAATGGTAGAGTCCAGAGGTCAGTTCTGTTATGTCTTTATTGTTTCCATCGTATCTTTTTGACAGGATCTTTCACAGAAGCTGAGGCTCGCTAGTTTAGCTGTTTGGCTAGCAAGCCCTGAGAGTTCACTTGTCTCTGTCTGTCCCCCACCCCAAGCCCTGAGGTTACAAGTGCAGGCCGCCATACTGAACTTTGATATGGGTGCTGGGGATCTGATCTTGGGTCCTCGTGCCTGCACAGCTGACACTTCAGCCGCCAAGTCATCCCCCTGGCCCCTATTTCAGACTGTTTTTAAGTTTTAAAACTCTAAGCAAAAATTCAGGGTTTGGATGATTCCTAATTTCTAAGCTGGAGTAAAGAGTCAAAGACTACAAAAAGGTTCGTCTCACAGCAGTTATGAGGTGCATATGACTGAGTTCTGAATACAGTGAGGCGGCTTCTTAATGAATACACCATCAGTCTGTAGACCAGACACATAGGACACACACCGCAGTCTGTAGACCAGACACATAGGACACACACCACAGTCTGTAGACCAGACACACAGGACACACACCGCAGTCTGTAGACCAGACACATAGGACACACACCACAGTCTGTAGACCAGACACATAGGACACACACCACAGTCTGTAGACCAGACACACAGGACACACACCACAGTCTGTAGACCAGACACACAGGACACACACCACAGTCTGTAGACCAGACACACAGGACACACACCACAGTCTGTAGACCAGACACACAGGACACACACCGCAGTCTGTAGACCAGACACATAGGACACACACCACAGTCTGTAGACCAGACACACAGGACACACACCGCAGTCTGTAGAACAGACACACAGGACACACACCGCAGTCTGTAGAACAGACACACAGGACACACACCGCAGTCTGTAGACCAGACACACAGGACACACACCGCAGTCTGTAGACCAGACACACAGGACACACACCGCAGTCTGTAGAACAGACACATAGGACACACACCACAGTCTGTAGACCAGACACACATCTGTAGACCAGACACACAGGACACACACCACAGTCTGTAGAACAGATACACAGGACACACCGCAGTCTGTAGAACAGACACATAGGACACACACCACAGTCTATAGACCAGACACACAGGACACACATCGCAGTCTGTAGAACAGACACACAGGACACACACCACAGTCTGTAGAACAGACACACAGGACACACACCACAGTCTGTAGACCAGACACACAGGACACACACTGCAGTCTGTAGACCAGACACACAGGACGCACACCGCAGTCTGTAGACCAGACACACAGGACACACACCACAGTCTGTAGACCAGACACACAGGACACACACCACAGTCTGTAGAACAGACACACAGGACACACACCACAGGCCTCACAACCTGGGCCTTGGCACAGGCTTTGCTACCAAATGCCGCTGGATGTGTGCATTAACTTGAGTCTCAGTCCTTTACCTGAGAAACAAGGAAACAATGTCTGCTTCCCAGATGTTTGAGATGCTTCCATGTGTTGCTTACAATAGGGACCAACTTCTTTTTGCCCTTGAATGACTCATTTTAAAATTAGGAGTTTCGTGGTCTGGAAACCTCCTCAGGCCCTGGCAGACCAGTCACTCCGATGGTAGCTATTGTCATTAATTTCTCTTGAAGAGTCATGATGAACACACCAATTGTTACCTTATTTACTCCGCTGAAACTGACGGTTATTGCAGCAGCTACCAAGTAGCAAAAGTCATTCTAAAGAGATGGGTTTTTGGATAACGGACATGTGGGGCTTTGAATCCCATAAGGAACACAGGAAGTTCCCAGCCATAGACAAATCCATTTTCAAATAATTACCACATTAAATTTAGCAAACCAGTTAGAATTGACCACTTTCCCCCACCTCTGACTTACATTATTTACTTATTCATTTGTTTGTTTGTGTGTGGTCAAGGTAGGTACCCATGATACAACACACATGTGGACAGCTTGCAGAAGTTGGTCCTTGAGAGGGCTGGGGAGCCAGACCAGGGCCATGACAGGCTCCTATAGCCCTGCCAGAGACCAGGCCTCAGTTTTGGTTTACCGGAACTGAGCAAGCAGTTCTTGGAAAACCACAGCTCAGGGGCAACCAATCAGCAGATGCCCCACAGCCTTCTGCTAGCTAAAGATAGTTTTCCCCACCCTGCCGCTAGAAAGTCCCTAACCACTGGAGCCACCTACCTATCCTATAACAACCTGCAAACTTTTTGTTCAAACCCACCAATCATCCCCCAGACTAATCTCCCCTCCCTGGAATTCCCCTAATCCTGCTTAGAAGGAGCCTGCAAGCTTCTCTCGGGGTCCCCATTTGCCACTTTGTCAGATGGTTTGACCCCAGCATGCTGGAATTTTTTTTTATTGAATGTTCTTGTTGATTGCATACATGACTGGTGGTCTTTTATGGGACTTCTTGCAGACCTTAACAGTCCTCTCCTTCTGCTGTTTGGATTCTAGACATGGAAAATCAGATGGGGTTTGAGAACAAGTGCCTTTACCCACGGAAGCCACCTCACCAGCCCAGAAAAGGACACTTTCTTGAATTTTTTTTTAAAAGGATATTTGGAGGCTGAGACACCAATCCAAAGGTTGGTAACTACTGCAATCTTGTTACAACGTAGAAGGTTTAGATTCTGTTTGAATGTGAAACGTCCACCACAGGCTCTCAGGTTTGTTCCCTAGCTAGTGGTGCTGTTTGGGGATGTTCTTGAACTTTTAGGAGAGACAGCCTCCGGGGAGGAGGGGTGTTCCTGGGGGAAGGACTTGAGACTTTAGAGCTCAGCCCTAATTCTGTCTGTTCCTCTGCTCCACACTGGGGACGTGGTATGACCAGTCGCCCGGCACCACTTCTGCCTCCACGCCTTCACCACCACGGTGAACTGTATCCCTCCAACTGTGAGCGGCAATAATCCCTTCAAACTGGGAGCCCAAGTTAGTCTTGTAGCAGCAGTGAGGAAAGGAATCAGTACAAATTCTAAGCCCACGTGAGTGGGAAAGGGGAAACTATAAATGTCAGATATTTTCAATTTTCTCTTCTTTGATAAGGCTACAGAGATACACAGAACAGTTAAACTCCTTTGTCTCTTAGGATTGATTTGTAAATCAATTTACCCCCTCTGATGTGGTTTTCAGCCAGCCAAACCTTTCCTACCCTTATCCTAACCGCCCTCCCCACTACCCCCCCCCCCTTAATGACAAGGAAAACTAAGTGTCTCTATTGCAATTACTGGCTTTAAGAAACGAATCTCACACTTCTGTCTGATGATGAGAGAAGCGTATTTGGCACCTTTTTCTTTCACAGCTGCCTGTGAATGCAATCCTTCCTTCACTTGTGATTTCCCTGTTTAGTGAGCTCTGTCACCACTAACTCTCATTAATGGGCCACCTCCTGTTTCCCACCCGTACCGACAGCTTTTTTATTCTTGTCTCATTTTTCATTTCTGTAGGTCTGGAACCCTGTGAGTCAGAGCTTTGAGTCCCCTTGATGCGGCCTCTTTAATTAAGAGTCATTTGCTGGCTGCCATCCTCAAGGGTAGCCAGATAGACGGTGATAACTCCTTGGCAGCCTCCA